TCATACTTTGGACATATTGTCAGGAGGGACCAGTCGCTGGAGAAGGATATCATGTTTGGTAAGGTGGAGGGTCAGAGAAAAAGAGCAAGACCCCCGGCAAGATGGATTTGCAAAGTGGCAGCAACAATGGGCTCAAGCATGGCAACAATTGTGAGGTTGGCCCAGGACCGGGCAGTGTTTTGTTCTGTTGTGCATAGGGTTGCTACAAGTTGGTACTGACTTGATGTCACCTAACAACAACAACAACGGTTGGGGACCAGCCCCGACAAACTTATTAGGGGGCTTATGAAGGGAGATGTGGAGTTGGCGAAAGAAATTACACAGAGTCAATGGTTTGTGCTGAATTTTGATTGAAGCTTTTTTACTTAATTTTTTCAGCTTCTTATATACCATTACAATACACTATGACTTCATAATAATTATTTTTTGAAGCATTACACATCCTTGATTATTTCAATTTTTTTTACTTTGTGTTTATACAATGTTGACAAAGGTATTTTTTTTTTAAACAGTTTTTTTTTGGTTTATTTATATCCAGTTTTTTTCATTCATTTTTTTGACATCCTAAAATGTTAAGTTAACCTTAAAACATAATTCTAAATCTTAACTCCTATTTCTACCTTCACCTATTATTTTTTATAGATTTATTAAGTACAACATGTACCTAAACATTATTTTCTATGGTAATTGACAACACAGTTGTTTTTTATGATTGATTAAACAAGAAAAACAAGAACATAAAAAAGCACTTAAAGTTTTGTAGTTAAGAAGAAATGGAACAACTTCCTTATACTAGCAACTTTTTAATTTAAAACACTTAGTTAAATTTCTACCTATGATTTATTACTGTTCCCCCAGCCCTTAATTGCGTCTTAGCTAATTTTCTAGAGGTTTTAATGTCCCTGACCGAAACTACACAGAATGTTGAATGCAATTTTAAACTTGAACTAGCAATGCTATAGCTGACGTTGTTTTCCTCTAGTGGTGAAATTTATTGTTAGTGTAAAAACAAATAGTTACACATGATTGAATGTGGTGTAATGGTACCTAAAAACAAGTTTCAAATCTCTAATATAATTCCTACTAAGATTTTACTGAAAACTTTTATTATAAAATAAAAAAAAATTAAAGTTAAGCTGACTAAAAGAAAGGGACAGAAACTGCAAACCCCCCGCATAAAATTTCTCCTCGGGGCCTTGCCTTCCAAGGAAAAACTCATTGTGGCCTTGCTTAGCAATAAGCCCTTCATGCTTAGGGTCCTCCACTGTGTTCCTTGATAACATGGCTTCTGCCAAACAACCATGTTCTTAAATGAGCCACTCCTCAGAAACCTTACACAGGGCTGCTATGAGTTGGAACTAACTCCATGGCATTTAACAACAAAACAACAAATATTCTTAAATATGTACTATTTAATATTATATAAATGATAAAAATTGCTAATATTTTCTCAAATAAAAATAAAACTTTGGGGTCATTGTTAGGATTTATACTACCAGAACATTTGGCAATCTTTATTGAATTTGAATGTTGCTCCTGCTGTTGCTATGTGCTACTGAGCCCGTTCCAGTTCCCACTCATAGTAACCCTATATAGAGTTTCCAAGGCTGTAAATCTTTACAGGAGCAGAAAATCTCATCTTTCTCTCTGAGTGGCTGGTAGATTTAAACTGCTGACCTACAATTAGCATTCCAACTTATACGCCTCTCTGGTACCAGGGCTTCTTTGAATATGCATGAGAAGTATTGAAATGATACTGATTGTTTTTAGAACCTTTGAATATCTTTTATAGAAATACAAAACTATTAAGTCTCTATGAGCATTAGAGATTTGGCACAACAGTTAATCACTCAGCTGCTAACTGATAGGTTCAAACCTAACCAGCTGCACATTGTACACACATTGCCTACATGGGATTCCTCAGAGGAATCCATTTGGGTCTGATTTTCAGTTTGATTCTCCTTCCCTCTTGTGAATTCACAGGAGGTCAGATATGGTTCCCACACCATTCAGGCACCCTCCAAAGATAGTCTTTATTACTATCCTTCCTTAATCAATTCTGAATTCATTTCTACTTACTGTTAGAACAACTTATTCCTATTCCTAAACCTAACACACTATTCCTCAGTACCTCCTGGAGATTAGCATGATATACAGTTCAAAAAAGCTTACTTCTCAGAGACCTGGTATGGTGCTGCAGGATAAGCACTTGACTGCTAACCACAAGGTTGGTGGTTCAAACCTTCCAGCCACTCCTAGGAAACCCTATAGAGAGTTGCAATAACTTCTTAGAAAGTGTTTGGGAATATTCTTTACAACTATATTCTTATAACCTGAAGACTTAATATGATTTGTCAGTTAATCAGCATAATAAATGCCTGACTTGCTTGTTATTTCACTGCTGTAGACATAGTATTGTTGTTGTTAAGTGCAATTTTCCCGACTCATAGCAACCCTGAATAGGGTTTCCGAGGAGTGGCTGATGAGTGTTAACTGCCAACCTTGCAATTCAAACTGACCTTGGGATCCAGTACTTAGCCTATGGTGCTACACTAATTTAGTAAATACCATTTGCTGACTTTAATCATTTTAGTCATTCTACATAACTTTTGTTCTGTTTTATGGAGGATTACCCTTTTAAAACGAGCAGAGAGAAAACAAAGAGAAGAAGAGCAGCACAGATACGTTTAAGCCAAAGTGATACAAAGGAGGGAGGCTGGTCACAGCTGAGGATGCGAGTCCTCAGGGGTTTGATGATCCGTGCTCTCTGGGTCAGGATGGCCTCCCGGGCCTTGTGCCATTTCCCTGGGCCCTGCAGGCGGTACTGGTATGGAGTACATGGACCAAATAATACCTCTAATGCTAATTTTGGATCTGAGAAGAAGAGAGAGAGAAGGTTGGGCTTCACTCCTATTTCGGAGGCAATCTCATCCATGTACTTCACAAACGCCACGTTTCGAGCCACACGTGGGCTTTTCACGTATCTGAAATCAAAAGAGAATAATCAGGAAACCATGTCGGATTCTGGTCACTATGCTTACATGGAATTTAGTGAGTAGAAAAGCTGAATCAAGCCATCTTTTTTGCATGTGAAAATCTCTGGTTGTTAATGTTCTTGGTCCATCCAGAGGTGCCTCAGAAGAAATGCCTGGTGATCTGCTTCTGAAAAATCAACCACTGAAAGCTCTACGGAGCATAGTACTACTTGGATACACAAAAGTTGGAACTGATTAGATGGTCAGTGGTTTTAGGTTTTATGCATGTGAATTGGGAGAAATAAAATAACTGTTTTCTCTGTGTTCAGATTTGTGTGTTGGTTTACTAACATAATTTCAAACCTCCCCCATTTGCTGAAGTTATTTGATAGTTATAGGCATGCTTATTTGAAGTTTTGGTAGTTTAGCGAATTTATTCTCTTTTGCTAGCCTCTGTATTTCGGATCGTTTCATCTTGACCCAAAGTTGAGGGCTACTACATCATATTAAGTCATTTTGGTCTTCAGATTTTGATATACAAATTATGAGTATGTTTAGTTTGAGTGACAGGAGTCAGACTCCTGTGTTGTACCTATGTCAGCATAAGAGTATTATTTTTGTTATTGTTAGGCATGTTTTAAAACTTCTTTAGAATAAACTTTTTCTTTTTTCAATTAGCGTTACCATATGTTTCTAGAATTTTGGTTTTCAGAGTATAGATAACTTGATATGTATGAAAAATCTCAGCCAGTACTAAACACATTCTTAGTTTTGATCTTTCAGAAAAATTCTCCACCAAAAATAATTTTATCAAGAGGCTTCTCAACTAATTCCGAAGTTTTTCTGAATAGTTTAAACTAATTTTTTAGATTATTTTGCCTGAGGTTAGTGTTTCAAATAAGTAGGTTGTCCATTTGCTCCTTCCTTTGTTTCCAAGTGAAACTTGTTTATAGACCAGAATTTATTGGTATAAAAAGCATGCAACAAGCATGTGACTTGTAATCTCCTTTGCTTCACTTTTCCACACATCATTACTAGGTTACAGTTTTTTTATTTCACCCAACTCACAACATTAAGCCAAAAACCAGCTGCCCCGTTTTTGTAAGTAGATTCCGACTCACAGTGACCCCTTGCAATCCTTCATCCACATATTCCATGGACAATCAATAAATACGACTAAAACAAATGATGATATTGAGAGTACAGAGCGATCCTCTTTAGCTCCCGATTGCTCAATGACAAACAGATAAAAGCATATAGCATCATCACTTGAGGAAATTGTTTTGATTTCATTGTAGCTAAATTTCTTACTCTTTGTCTAGTTTGTTCCTCTTCTGTTTGATGTCAGCCAACATGTCATTCATGGAGGGTAATTTGTTCAGCCCTAGGAAAGAAAATCCAGAATATGAAGATTCTTTGGACAAAGAATGGAATCAAGGGCAATGAGTCTAGGAAGACATGAGCATGCACACCAGGTAGCATTCACAGGTAGAAACTTTCCCTAGAGGAGAGCTTCTAGACCTTCTATTTCTGAATGCTCTTTTTCTGAATGTGGGGTGGGTTATTTGGATTTATCATTAACTGTTTTCTAACCTCATGACTTGGGATGTTAAGAATTTACCCTGAGATCTTTTGTGTGTATTGGTGTACTTTGTTTTAGAGTACTTTTGAACATCTCAAAATATCAAGACCTGCTCTGCTGATGCTCACATGATTTTGCAATATTTTCCCTATTGACTTCAGAGGATTTACACTCTCAAAATAACCTTCATAAACCCTAGAACTAAATGCATAATCCCTCACTATTCCATTTCCAAGGGACATTCAATAATGGAAAATGCTGTGATGAAAAAGAAGAAAAAGACTAAATAAATAAATAAACAGATAAATGAATAAGGGAAATTCTAGCGGAAGGGATGGAATCCCTGGGTGACACAAACAGTTAAGTTCTTGACTACTAACCCACAGGCTGCTGGTTTGAATCCATCCAGAGGCACCTCAGAAGAAAGTCCTGGTGATCTGTGACCAAAAGGTCACAGCCATGAAAGCCCTATAGAGCAAAGTTCTACTTGGTAGCAGTGGAGTTGCCAGTAGTTGGAAATGCATTTGACAATTGGTTTGGCTTTTTTTTTTCTTGATACTGGAAGAAGTTGTGGTGCAAAGCTCATGGTTTCTGGAAAGGGCAATTTCAGGGATACAGAGCAGCACTAAGGGAGGTAGGCCTGTTTGGTTTCTCATTAGGTATGTGACCTTGGGCAAAACACTTAACCTCTGATATTCTGTTTATTTATCTATAAAATTAGGGTTACAATTTTCAGAGGCTATTTAACAGACTAATTTATGTAAATTTAATAGCTACCAGTGTGTCAGGCAAAGTGAACACCATTCCCTACTGCTTGCCTGTCTGCACTTGTCCTTCAAGATTCAGTCAGGTGATCTTGTCCTCAGAAACTTTCTATGACCCTCGGCATCTTGCCTTCTTCACCCAGGCAGAGGGGATGTGGGGTATGACACTTTGGTTTTTCCATAGTGACTGTGCATAGCTCTATCATATGTCTATCTTTATCACCAAAACAAAAAAGGCGAACACACTACCAATGAGTTGATTCTGACACATAGCGAACCTACAGGGCAGAGTAGAACTGCTCTTTAGGGTTTCTAAGACTATAAACCTTTACAGGAGCAAACAGTCTCATTGTTTTATCACAGAGTGCTGACCGTGTTCTACCAGCTATTCTGCAGGAGAAAGATGAGGCTTCCTGTTCCCATAAAGATTTACAGCCCCGGAAACCCTGTACAGGGTCACTATGAGTCAGAACTGACTGCATGGCACATAACATCAACAACAACAATCTTTTATCATAGGACACTATGATTCTTCACTAGTCTATTCCCAGTTGGCTTGTGAAATCCTCAAGGGCAAAAATCTTTTTGTATTATTATCTTCAAGGTTGCACATAGTGCAGACACTTGCTGGGAACCCTGTAAATGTTTATTCCTCTGATCCAAACATATAGAATGTGATCTCTTGTTCTGTTGTGCAGCCCCAGAGTTTTGGCAATAAAGAGTGAAGAGTAGGATATTGGAGAACTCAATCTTATAAAGCACAATTTAGGAGGTAACAACTCATTTGCACATGGATTTCTTATTTTTCATAAAGATACACTGTGTATTTCTTCTAATAGCAAGTTCCCTTATTTAAATCTGACTCATTTCATACATATTTATTTAATTATAGTGTCCATATGGTATTATTATGAAGTAAGCAATTAATTCACAGGAGGCTTTTTGTTTGTTTGTTTGTTTTGTTTTAATTGTGTAGGAGAGGATTTTTCAGATGGATTATAGCTCTGTTATTTTATCTCCAAATATTATCAGTCACTAGCTGACATTATCTGGTCATATCTGTCACCAAGATATTTGTTGTCAGTTTTGTAGCCCACTTATTATGCTTCATGTTTCCTAATATAAGATTAAAATGGGCTCAAAACAACAACCTTGTGGTCTGAAGTCCATTGTTTATCCAACATGGACTTTTTATCATATAGATAACCACCATGCTCCCTTTTATCATATAGACTTGGAAAAATAACATGAGAACTATTTTGGCATTATTCTAGGTCTAAGAAATGACCATTAGTTCTGTTCAACTTTGTTTTGATCCTTTCATACGATTAGATGTTAGTTCCAGTATTGGTTGTATCTGAATGTGGGCTTGGGACAAAAGATTGAGGATGGAAAGTTTTAGTTTTGTTAAACCTGGCTACTAGAAAAATTAAGAGATGTTTCAATTATTCTATTATTTTAACTTTCTTTGTGTTGCATAGGGACCCTATTTCTATTTCAATAGTGTTTAATTTTCACTCATAGACATATTTCACTTACTGACATATTTAAAAGAAACTGATAACTAACAATTAACAATGTGTAAGCCCTTATAGAGGTGAAGATTATCTTGGTGTAGCACTGTAGAATAAGCACTGGACTGCTAGCCACAAGTTTTGGGGTTCAAACCAGTGTATCCTCAGAAACCCTATGTAGAGTTACTATAAGCTGGATCCAACTGATGGCACTTAAAAAACACAGCAGTAGCAGCAGCAGTAAAGACTGATGTTTTCAAGACCCAAGAAAACTGGTCTTTGTTGTATTTTTGTTATAGAATGTGGACTGACAGGCAAGGTATATAGCATTGCAGTTCCTCTCAAGTAACATCATATGTCCAGAAGTGTACTATACAGCCACATTGGCAGACAAGATATACCTTTGAATATGCGTACAACCCATCGGCTCTGGAGTTCTGACGTGGGAATGATGGCTCCCTCTGGCTGGAGGATGCCAATGAAAGCTAATGTTGGCTTCTCTAGCTGAGGAGGGAAGACAAATTTAAACATGGAATGCTGGCCGTCCAGAACGGTTTCATCATTTTCCAAAAATGGGAAAGAATATTTATATCCTGTGGCAAAAATGACAACATCAACGTCCTCTTCTGTGCCATCTTCAAAGATGGCTGACATCTGAGTGAACTCTCTCACATTTGGTTTTACCAGCACTCTTCCAGAAATTATACAGTTGGGTAGCTCGTCGCTGAAAGTTGCTCGCTGACTGAGAAATCTGTAGGATACAGTAAGATTTAGGGGAGTGAATTTAAATGACATTTGTAAAGAGCTAAATAAGAACCTCAGGGAAGAATAACAGATCATCGAATTATAATCCTAAACACTTTTCTTGTGTTCTCAGGGGAAACTGAATGAAAAACTATTTCAGTTCAGTAGCACATATATTTTTTCATTAGTTCATTTTTCTAGTGTTTATTCAAACCTGTTATGGCCCATGGGAGAGTCCAAAGGATTGCCCTGTATTAGGTAAGATATATTCTGAGACATATGGATGCCTACCAATTACAGGTGAAATCTGTGTTAAGGTAAGTGTTAACATAGGTAGAAAGACCTATTGCCTTATGAAAATGAGAATAGTAATGAAAACATGGAATGTATGAAATGTAAATCTAAGAAAATTGGAAATTGTCAGAAGTGAAATGGAACGCATAAACATCAGTATCCTAGGCATCAATGAGTGAAATGGACTGGTATTGGCCATTTGAATCTAACAATCATATGGTTTACTATGCTTGGAATGACAAATTGAAAAGAAATGGCATCACATTCATCATCAAAAAGAACATATCAAGATCTGTTATGAGGTACAACACTGTCTGTGATAGGATAATATCTATGCGCCTATTGGGAAGACCAGTTAATACCACTATTATTCAAATTTATGCACTAACGACTAAAGCCAGTCAGAATAAAATAAAAGAACTCTACCAACATCTTTAATTTGAAATTGATCAGACATGCAATCAAGATATACTGATAATCACTGGCAATTGGAATGCAAAGGTTGGAAACAAAGAAGAAGGATCAGTAGTTGGAAAATATGGCTTTGGTGATAGAAATGATGCTAGAGATTGCGTGATAGAATTCTGTCAAACCAATGATTTGTTCATTACAAATGCCTGTTTTTTCTTTTTTTTTCATAAGACAGTCAAGCATTTTACTATTATTTCCCCTCTTCAAACTAAGCCTAGATCCCTGTATCACAGAGCCCTGTTGTTCCAAGGTTAAGCATGCATCACTATTTACCTCTGTCCCACTTAGGCCATACAAACCTATCTCAGTGTTCCCCCATCTATATATTGTTCTTCTACCTCCTCCCGCTTCTTGTATTGCCCTCCCCAACACCCAAACTAAACCCTCCATCCCAACCCCACTGTTGTGGTTACCTCCATTTAAGACAGTTTATTTTATCCTATAATTTACCTGACCTTCTTACCACTTGGGTCTCTGTTCCTCTGTGTTTACCCTCTTTCACATTGTAATTGTTTTGATCATAGACTGATCTTCTGTTCTTATAATTTTATTCTGTTCTTGACTCTTCCATTTGTCAACTGAGTTCAGGGTGATGCTGCCACATACGTCATTCTCTGGTTGTTGTCTGTCCTTGTTGGTTCTCAGACTACAGAATTTCCTTTAGGATTTTTTCATAGCAGAGTTGGCTTTGGCAAAATCCCTTAGCTTCTGTTTATCCTGGAATGTTTTGACTACACCATTGTATTTGATTGACAGCTTTTCTGGGTAGAGGATTCTTGGTTGCCAGTTTTTTTCTTTTCTGGTTTTATATATGTCTCCCCATTGCCTTCTTGCCTGCATGGTTTCTGTTGAGAAATCTGAGCTTAATCTGATTTGTTGGCTTTGTATGTTACACTTCTTTTTTCCTAGATGCTTTCAGGATTCTGTCTTTATCTTTGATTTTGGAAAGCTTGATTATTATGTCTTGGTGATTATCTTTTAGGGTCTACCCTTTCTGGGGTTTTTGAGCTTCTTGAATGCTTATCCTTTTGCTTTTCAGGATGTTAGGGAAATTTTCTTCCAGAAGCTCTTCAACTATCTCCTCTGTGAACTTGTGTGCTTCTTCCTGTTGTGGAATGCCAGTAATTCTTAAGTTATTTCTCTTCATGTTGTCCAACATGAATCTTAGGCCTTCTTGGGATTTTTTTTTATCCTTTTTTTGTGCTTGCTCTTTTGTCTTAGTAGTGTTGAGAGATTTATCTTCTAGCTCACTAGTTCTGGCTTGTATTGCTCCAATTCTACTCCTTTGCCCTTTCAGTATATTGTCCATTTCTGATATTCTATTATTAATCATTTGGACCTCTTTCTGTAGGTTCTGAATAGTTTCCAATGCTGTATCTATCTTATTTGATTGTTCCTATTGCGCTTTCCTGACTTCTTCCTTATTTTTCTCAACTCCATTGTATAGTGTTTTGATACATTTTATAATCATTTTTCTGAATTCCTTCTCAGGCATTTCCAAAGCATGCCCATCTTTCAGTATGGAGTGTAGGTCTACTTCCAGCTCATTTGCCTTAGTCACTTTATCTCATTTCTAGACATGTGCTGATATGGTTATCTGTTTCTGTTTCTGGTTTTTATGTTTTTTTTTTTTGTTTTTTTTAGCATATTCCAGAGTTATCTGTGGCCTTAATACTTGTATGGGTGCTTATTTTGTTAATTTTTATGCTTTCTGAATGCCTCCAGGTAGATGTGATCAGGAGATGGGCCTCCCTTTTCACTCTTCTTCCTGAGAAATTTCAATATGCTACTATTGGTCATTGTGATGTAACTCAGGATTTAAATTTTGGCCTATTTCCTTTTTAGTCTGTCTGTCCCACTCCACAATCCCCATTCAGGTCTTTTTCTTAGTGATAAACAGTTCAGGGCCAGCTTTGGCTATTTTGCACTGCTGTTTGGTTTTAAGTGGAAACTGTCACTTTAAATTTTGAGAAGATCTGTACATAGTAGAATCCTCCAGGGGTGGGATGGGGTGTCCACTCACTCAGGCACGCCCTCTAGTCACCAGAATAGAGGTGTGCAGACAGCGAGAGACCAATGAGCAGATACAAAAAAAAAAAAAAGAAAAAAGAACGTCCACACCTTTATCTCCACTGTTCTGTCAGGTGTCCATGGCTTATCTAATCCTTCCCCCACTTGTTCTTGCCCAAGATGGTGGCTTTGGGAGCATCTGAGTGTCTTGAATTAGGAAGCAATGAATTTCTTGCTTCTGCTACAAATTCGCCTAGCCATAAGCCTTCCAGCCTTTTAAATGTTCCTTTATATGTGGTTCATAGTTCTGGGACCATCCCCTGAGCCTTTTTGGTCCTGTATTCTGGTTGTTGCTGATGGAGCTCCTCACTGCTCTTATACCTGATCCACCAAATACCTTTTTTAAACAGCATAAGAGACGACTATACACATGGACCTCACCAGATGGAACACACAGAAATCAAATTGACTACATTTGTGGAAAGAGATGGTGGAGAAGCTCCAAATAATCAGCCAAAAAAAGGCCAGGGGCAGACTGCTGGAACAGATTATCAATTGCTCATATGCAAATTCAGACTGAAGCTGAAGAAAATGAAAACAAGTCCACAAGAGCCAAAATAGGACCTTGAATATATCCCACCTGAATTTAGAGATCATCTCAAGAACAGATTTGATACAAAGACCAAAGGCAAAAACCGTTATGGATGACATCAAGAAAATCATACAGGAAGAAAGCAAAAAGTCATTAAGAAGACAAGAAAGAAGGAAAAGACCAAAATGGATGTTAGAAGAGACTCTGAAACTTGCTATCCAGTGTAGAGATGCTAAAGCAAATGGAAGAAATGAGGAAGTACAAGAGCTGAACAGAAAATTTCAAAGGTCAGTTCAAGAAGACAAAGTCAAATATTATAACGAAATGTACAAAGATCTGGAGTTGGAAAACCAAAAGGGAAGAACACTCTCAGCATTTCTCAAGCTGGGGGAACTGAAGAAAAAATTCAAGCCTTGACTTTTGTTTTTGAAGGACTCTATGGGCAAATTATTGAATGATGCAAAAGAAGATGGAAGGAAAATAGAAAGCTACTGTACCAAAAGGAAATGGTCGATATTCAACTGTATCAAGAGATAGCATATGATCAAGAGCCAATGATACTGAAGAAAGAAGTCTAAGGTACATTGAAGAAATTGGCAAAAAACAAGGCACTGGGAATTGATTAAATAAGAATTGAAATCTTTCAACAAAATGAGGTAGCACTGGAGGCACTTACTTACCTATGCCAAGAAATTTGGAAGACATCTATCTGGCCAGTTGATTGAAAGAGATCCATATTTGCACCCATTCCAAAGAGGTGACCCAGTGGAATGCGGAAATCATCGGACAATAGATTTGATATCCCATGTGAGTAAAATTTTATTAAAGGTAATACGGAAACGGCTGCAACCATACATTGACAGAGAATTTTCAGAGGTTCAAGTCAGATTAGAAAAGGATGTGGAACGAGGAATATCATTGCTGATGTCAGATGGATCTTGGCTGAAAGCACAGAATACCAGAAAGATGTTTACCTGTGCTTTATTGACTACACAAAGGTTTTCAATTGTGTGGATCATGACAAGGTATGGACTACATTGCAAAGTGTGAGTATTCCAGAACACTTAATTGTGCTCAGGAGGAACCTGGGCCTGGACAAAGAGGCAGTTGTTCAAACAAATATGGGAACACTGAATGCTTTAAAATTAGGAAAGGTGTGAGACAAGTTTGTATTCTTTCACCATACGTATTCAGCCTGTATGCTGAGCAAATAATCCGAGAAACTGGGTTATCTAAAGAAAAATGTGTTATCAGGATTGGTGGAAGACTCATTAACAACCTGTGATATGCAGATGGTACAACCTGGTTTGCTGAAAATGAAGAGGACTGAAACTAATTTCTGATGAAGATCAAAGAACACAGCCTTCCGTATCGATTGCATTTCAATGTAAAGAAAAAAAAAATCCTCACCACTGGACTAATAAACAACATTCTTACCAATGGAGAAAAGATTGAAGTTGTCAAGGACTTCATTTTTCTTGGATCAATAATTAACACTCATGGAAGCAGCAGTTAAGAAATCAAACGACGTATTGCATTAGGCAAATCTGCTGCACAAGACATTTTTAAAGTGTTGAAGAGCAAAGATGTCAGCTTGTGGACTAAGGTGCACCTGACTCAAGCCATGGTATTGTCAGTAGCCTCATATGCATGTGAAAGCTGGACAGTGAATAAAGAAGACTGTAGAAGAATTGATGCATTTTAGTTATGGTATTGGAGTGCCATGGGCTGCAAAAAGAACCAACAGATCTGTGTTGGAAGAAGTGCGGCCATAGTGCTCTTTGGAGGCTAAAATGGCCAGACTTTGTCTTTCATACTTCAGACATATTGTCGGGAGGGACCAGTCACTGGAGAAGGATATCATGTTTGGTAAGGTAGAGGGTCAGAAAAAAGGAGGAAGACCCCCAGCGAGATGGATTAGCAAAGTGGCAGCATCAGTGGGCTCAAGTGTGGCAACAATTGTGAGGTTGGCCCAGGAATGGGCAGTGTTTCTTTCTGTTGTGCCTAAGGTTGCTATGAGTCAATACCGACTTGATGGCACCTAACAACAACAACATAGAGAAGTAAGAATTATCCTGTGAGGTTGACTCTTGCAATCACAACCTTGTCTATGGCAATATATACTTACAACTTGATGTTAAAACTGGAAGAATTTACCCTAAGTTGTATTCCCTTAATGATCAGTGAACTGAAAGCTTTTATTTTATTATTTGCCATTGAGTCGACTCTGACTCATGGGGGTCTTATTTATAAGAGAATGAAACCTTGTTCAGCTCTGCACCATCCTCACAATTGTTGATATGTTTGAGCCCATTGTTTTGGTTATTGTGCCAATTCATCTCATTGAGGATTTCCCCTGTTTTCACTGACTCTTTGTTTTACTAAACATAATGTCATTTTATAGAAAATGAAAGGTATTGAGTCCCAAATGCATGCTAGGTACTGGGTCCAAATGAGAAAGAAATATTGACCCTCTTATACTGGACACATTTGATCTGTGAAGATACAGATAAGGAACTAAGGTAGGAAAAATATAGAGAAAATGATCCCAACTGGGGAAGTAACGTTGTTGTGTGTATGCTTCTTGCTTATTGCAACAACCAAAAACAAAGTAGTAGAAGCCAAGGGTAAGAGCAGTTGGACCTGTCAGGATATTTCAGGAAATTGGTTTCTTCCTTCTCCGTTCACCAACTACCATGTCCTGGAGGCAGATAATGGAAGACGAGGAGGCACATATCTACTCAATACAGCATAGATTCTCTTTAGGATGAAAGCTTGTTTTCAAGTTCTCACAGTGCTCCTAGACCCAAAACTCTGGAGGGTGTTACTGGGACTTACAATCCCCATTTTAGATGCCCACTTCTGTTGTGGCACGGTAGGATAAGTGCAGGCCTGCAAAGTCAGTTTGAACCACAAAGTTGGTGGTTTAGACTCACTAACTGCTCCTCTGAAACCCTATACTGTCAGTCTGAAACCCTATACTCGGAAACCCTATACTTGAGTCAGTCGGAAATGACGGCAATAATACCATTGTGAATTTTTTAAAAAGTCCTAGATCATACCTGTGCTGTGATTGCAGACCATAAGTATCATGGTTAAATTTGGCATTTAATTTGTTTTCTGACCATTGGTTGATCAAGAAAGTGGGGAGAAAATCATCACGAATACTCTTAAAGCGAGTGAAGAGGGCAACATCCATGGGGTACCCATTATCCCAAACTCGGTTCCGTATCCATGCACCTTGCCTTGTGCTGATGAACACCTGGAAGAGAGAGGAAAGAACACAACAATAATTAACTTTCATTGATTCATATGTAGTTAACACAAATACTAAATTGAGTGATAAGTCTTAGACAACTATCTGCTTTTTTTATCTTTATTCTATTCTACCCAAAACCTCCACCTCACATATTTTGCTTAAAATTCCCTTCTCTTTGAGGAAGACTCAACTTAAAAATTAATGGCAAGAAATTTTGTTACTCTTTCTTCCTACCACCTTCCAAACATCAAAGTGAAAGGCTTTAGGAAAGGCTGATTATCTTTGGGAGTCCCTGGGTGATACCAACAGTTAAGTGCTTAGCTGTTTATGAAAGGTTGGAGGTTTGAATGTATCCATAAGTGCCTACCAGGAAACACTTGGTTAACTACTTAAAAAAAAACAAAAAACAGTCATTTAAAACCTGTGGGGCACAGTTCTACTCTGACACACATGGGGTCATCATAAGGCATGGGCAACTAAATAGCATCTGTTTTGTTTTTTTAAAGCTGAGAAAACAGGTGATGCATGTAAGTATGACTAGCTTACAGCCCAAATGGGTCCACCATTCATTAATAATACTAAAAGTCTAGACTGCAGTCCTGGTGTGGCACTCTAGAATAAGTACTGGATGGACTGCTAAATGCAAAGTTGGTGGTTAAAACCCACCAGCCACTCCTTGGAAACCCTATACAGGGTCACTATGAGTCTGAATGGACTCCACAGCACTTACCAACAACAGAAGTCTAGGCTCCAAAGGAGTTATGCACTGAATGAAACACAGAAGAGTAGTTTGCATCTAGAGACCGTGTTAAATTTTTCTTTTTAAGGATTAATATTAACAGAGCGCATAATCTGAGTCTGGTCTTGCATAGGTGTGAATGCAATATTGAATAAAGCATGATCCTGGCTTGCACACAGCTCATGGTCTATTGTAGGAGACACAAGTTTCAAACCTGTTTAGCCATGTGGCCGAGTTCACATGCTATATCTGCTCCAGAATTCCCAATGCCGATGACAAGGACTCTTTTATCTACAAATTTTTCAGGTGTTCTGTAGTCACAGCTATGGAAATAGGAACCTCTGAACCTTTTGATACCTGTGAGGAGAGGATATAATAGCTTAGACCCAGGAATTTACATAGGAAAGTAGATGGTAACAAATGCTTACATGTGCTAGGCATAGTTCTAAGGGTTTACTTATAGTAATTCTTTTAATCTTCACAACTCACTGAGGCTGACACTAACATTATTTATGTTTTACAGATGAGAAGTTTAATGTGGAGAAAGTTTATTACTTGTTGAGGGTAACACAATAAGTATGCAGGAGAGCAAGGATTTGAACCTAAATAGATTGATTCCATGTTATTAATCTCCACAATAGAAGAGTACTTTAAAAGTCTTTGTGGCAATACTGTGTTAGCTATCTATCTATTTAAACTTTTTTTGTGAATTGAGTGAAAGTTTACAGACAAGATCATCAGTTTTACATCCAACAAATCATCTACTTCATTTCATCTCAATGATTGCAATCCCCTCCCTGTAACAACAGTTGTCTCGCTTTGTCCCTGTGGTTACCCATCTACAAATATCCTCTTTCAAATTTACATATTTGTGGGACACACACACACACATATATACATGGAGTCCTGGTGTGGTGCTGTGGGTTAATGTGCTGGATTGTAAGGTAGGTTTGAATTGCAAGGTCCATGGTTCTAGCTTACCAGCTTCTACATGGAAACCCTATACAGCTGCTACTCCCAAACAACTCAATGGCACTTAACAACAACATATACATATATATATGTCCCACTCTTCCTCCCATACCCATTCAGCCTGTGTCTCTGTCCATGTACCTACAGACAGAACACTGTTGTTTCAAGGTTCTGTATATATTCATATTTACCTCTATCCTCTTTAGCCTTTGCATACCTCCCTGTGTCTTCACCTGTTTTCATCATTCTTCTTCCAACCTCTCTCTTCTTGTATGTTGCCCTCCCTGTCCATATTTTTGCAGCAGTAAATAATAATAATAATGGAAATGAATATTTCAGCAAGTAATAAAACTTTTTGCACAGCTCCACATGTCAGATTTTGGTTTTGGTTGTGGCTTTTACTAAAGCAAGTTGTCAATATAAAATAAAATTTAACAGAATCAAAGTGAGTTGGAAAAAAATGTACATTTTCTTTAAGTGTCTCTGTTAAACTTCCCACACACCAGGCTGTAGGATGTAGAGGTCGAAGTATAGCATCATGATGTGTAAGCCAAGGTTTTAAGGACCACCTTGCTAAGCTCTGATCTAAAGAAACAAATGAAAACTCAGAAACAAATTTTACTGTGAAATTGTTCCTTTACAACATGACATTTAACAACCACACATAATGAAGTTACTTTAATTTTTCGTGATTTTATTGGTTGCCACAGGGTGCCGAGGTCTATTTCTTAGTTTATCCTACGTGTTGTTGCTGTTAAGTGCTGTTGAGTCACTTTAGACTCATAGCAACCCTTCATAGCATCTCTGAGGAGTGGCTGGTGAGCTTGAACTGCCAAAACCGACATTGCAGTCCAGTGCATCAACACGCAACGCCACACCAGAACTATGTGTTAGGCTTAAAGTAGACACTACCAATATGACAGAGTCCTGGTGTGGCACTGTGGGCTAATGTGTCAGACTGCAGAGTTGTTTGAACTGCAAGGTCGGTGATTCAAGCTCACCAGAAGCTCCTCGGAAACTCTCTACGTGGTTGTTATGGGTCAGAATCTACTTGATGGCACTTCATAACAACAACAACAACAACCAACATGAAGGTTCGTTATAATATCCCCCCCCCACCCCCAAAGCAATTGAAAAAATTAACCAAATATTCCTCCCTACACACCCATATTTGGGGTAGACTTGGGGGTAGAGTGTCATGTGTCTCTGGACAGGTGACCCACCTGGAAAGAACTGCAGTGGCAAAACAGAATCAGTGTAGTGGCCGCTGCATACCATGACTCCATCGAAGACGTGGGTTTCCTGCTTTCCCTCTGTCTCTACCAGGACATCCCATTGGCCAGTGGAAGGGAAATCAGAGTGCTTCTTCACACTGCACACTTTCGACTGGGCATAAAGTGAGAGTCTTTTCATTCTTTTTTTTTAAACATTTTTAATTATGTGTTGAGTGAAGGTTTACAGAACAGATCATCAACCCCACATTCAACAAATTATACACTTTGTGTCATTACAATGATTGCAGTCCTTCCATGTACCATCAGTTAACAGTATTTACCGCTGTTCACTTTAACTCTTGCATTGCTCCTGGTGCCTTAAACTACCTTCATCTTTCCTGTGCCAACTTCCCTCTTGTTGCATATTGCCTCCACCATCACCCAAGTTAACATGTGTCTAACTCTCAACCCAATAAATAATTTTCCCTTTCCTCTCACCCCTGTTAACCATTAAAGAATGATTCTTTTAGCAAGAAGATGTTTTCTTAAATTTTTACAACAGTGGTTTCATACATTTGTCCAAAGTTACATTCTTAATCTCTGATCACCTTCCATTTTTGTCAGTGAAGAGTCGGCGTCTCATAGCTCCTACCCCTAGTAGGATCTGGCACCTAATTCTCTACTAGAAATTTTTAGGAATTTTCTTGTGTGGCTTTTACCATTGTCTCTTCAACTGAGAGTAAGGCTTAACTGTGGTTGTTGCAGTATAGAATACCAAACACACTGGATATATTAATACTCATATACTCAAGTATGAACCAGAAAGTAGGGTTGGAACACACATGTACAGTGTCTACACTGTGTGGTCTCTGAAATGAGAACAAACCCTGTGTCATGCATATTTTTTGGAATGTTCTCAAAAGCACATTTATTTGTCACTTATAATCTAACATTTGTTGTTAAGGGCTGTTGAGTTGGTTCCGACCCAAAGTGACCCTGTATAGGGTTTCCGAGGAGTGGTTGGTGAGTTCAAACCACTGACCCTGTGGTTAGCAATCCATTTCTTATCCTATAGCACCACAACAGGACTCCACACATATATTAGAAATAGAAAATTTCTGAATTTAGAAATAGGAACATTGAGGTACATGAGGTATATATTTAACAACCTCTCTAAACAGCCAGGCACATATATGTTGTGATAAAGAAAATGTAACATATAGTTAAATCTGTGTAAGTTGGCTTTGAGACATTAAATAAATCATAAAGAACACCCTTAATCTCTGACTTAAAGATAAGATGCTACAAATCGCTAATTTCTGATGTTAGAGCAAATGATATAACATATTACATTACAATGTTAGCCATTACATTACCTGACCCTTACTGTGTGAAAACAAGGTGAAAAAATCGTAGATAAACCATGGATATAAAAAATCGTAGATAAACCATTGAGAGAAGGCAATGACAGACTGCCTATCACTGCTGTCTTACAACCCCAGCTACAAGCACTGACCATGGTCAAGCCTTCCTCCTGAAACTACACATTAAAGGCTAAAGCCTGAAATCTAGATCTGAACTCTAGCCATATTACTAATCTTATATTATCATGATTCTTCAATCCTAATAGAATGACTTGTGGTTTTACCCGTGTGTCTGTTTTGCCATGACGACCTTATAATACACTAAATGAGTTTATACATAATAAATTTGATTATCTACTTAATTTCAAAATTAAACCCCACAGGATACTACTTCCATAGTCTTGGGCCTACATAGACTCTACACTGTATTCATAGTGTGGTAATCATAGAACTAACATTTTCTTACCAGAAATCGGATGTATTTGTTAAGGTTGAATTGCCTGGCATACATCCTGACATATTCCATCATTTTGGAATTGTGCAGATAATTGGGATAGTCATCAGGAGCAGGATAGTCACTATAGGCTGTCATTTCCTTTGAAGTGTTGCAGATCACAGATTTGTACATTCTGGCCTTGTGACCTTTAGGATTTTCCTGCAGGGGAGAAAGACATCTGAACTGAACAATGAGGCATCTATCTCTAATGCTTCCCTCACACTAGGAAACAGTCAACTCTCCATTATCCACCGTAATGGAGAAGGCCAAATATTGAAGACAAGTAACGTTCTCAAGTAATCTAAGGTTTTGATTTTACTTCTTCAAGAAGGGAAACATAACCTTGGGTTTTAGATGCTGAAGATGATGATAGGCAAAGGGATCACGGGCAAAGATGTATGGGTAGCCCTCTCCGTAGACCATATTTCATTTCTGTCAATCTTTTCAAAAGAAGGGTGAAAACTCCCATTAAAAACTCTTGTCCATAAACTATTTCATTTGATCCTTGAAACAGACCTGTGATAGAATTTTTATCTTCACTTAGATTTGAGAAGACTCTGGTTTTGAAATGTTAAGTCTCCAAAGTCAAACATCAATTAAGTGGGATAGTTGATATACAACCTAGATATACTGTATGTAATGTCTAGGTTCTTTTCATTATCTTATTGGGCCTAGAAGCCTTATATAGAACATTTACCTGTGTGAATTAAAAATTAATTAATATTTAAGGGGGAAAATATTAAGATTTGACAAAAGTATAATACTGAGTGCTTCATAATACATATTAGTATGCTGTTTTTGTATTTTTCCAAATCAAGTGTCTCCTTTGAAAAGAATTTGTGGTTCATTGCATATTAAATGATGTCAAAATGGGTTTGCTGTTGTTGTTGTTAGGTACCATCAAGTCGGTACCGACCCATAGCGACCTTATGCACAACAGAACAAAACACTGCCCAATCCTGGGCCAACCTCACCACTGTTGCCACGTTTGAGTCCATCGATGCAGCCACTTGGCCAATCCATCTCATTGGGGGTCTTCCTCTTTTTCTCTGACCCTCCACCTTACCAAACATGATATCCTTCTCCAGCGACTGGTCCCTCCTGACAATATGTCTGAAGTATGAGAGATAAAGTTTGGCCTCAAAGGAGTACTCTGGCTGCACTTCTTCCAAAACGGATCTTCTGGTTCTTTTGGCAGCCTATGGCACTTTCAATATTTTCCTCCAACACCATAACTCAAAAGCACCAATTCTTCTACGGTCTTCCTTATTCACTGTCCGGCTTTCACATGCATATGAGGTTATTGGAAATACCATGGCTTAGGTCAGGCGCACCTTAGTCCTCAAGCTGACATCTTTGCTCTTCAACACTTTAAAAAGGTCTTGTGCAGCAGATTTGCCTAATGCAATACGTCGTTTGATTTCTTGACTGCTGCTTCCGTGAGTGTTGATAGTTTATCCAAGAAGAATGAAGTTCTTGACAACTTCAATCTTTTCTCTGTTGATAAGAATGTTGTTTATTGGTTCAGTGATGAGGATTTTTGTTTTCTTTAGATTGAGATGTAATCCATACCGAAGGCTGTGCTCTTTGATCTTCATCAGTAAATGTTTTAAGTTCTCTTCATTTTCAGCAAGCAAGGTTGTATCATCCGCATACCTCAGGTTGTGAATGAGTCTTCCTCCAATCCTGATGCCACGTTTTTCTTCACAGAACCCAGCTTCTTGGATTATTTGCTCAGGTTGAAAAAGTATGCTGAAAGAATACAACCTTGTTGGGTTACACAACAACAAATAAGAATAGACTTTCGGAAATCTATTTTTAAAAAAGTATTTGTGTTTGAAAACAGTCTTCAGATTTGAAGATACATCTAAGGCTTGGACTTTCAATGCAGTCAACTTGGAAATTCTACCCAGAAGCCTCTCTCAAGCTCCGTATGTAGTCCAGTAATCAAACCATCTTTTCCTCTCTCCTCAAACTGCAACACCTACTCCCCAACTTACCTGGGGCTCATTACTTTGCTTCTTTGTTGTAAAAAATTGAGACAGAAGAGAATTTGCAGGAACTCTTACCGTCTCATTTAGCTAGTTTATCTAGTTGCTTTCTTGCCCATAAACTTAGTCTCTTTTGTTACTAAGATGCCTAACCTAAACAATAAAGTCATGGGTCTCATATTTTCTCACCAATTCAGAAACATCGCTCCAGCAATTCTCCCCTTTCGCTCACTTGCATCATAACTTTTCTCTTTCTATAACACCATTCTCAACAGGAAACTAATGTGTCACTTCTCATATCTTTTAAAAAAAGCTCTCACCCTCACCTCTCCCTCATCATACAGACTCTACCCTTTTTATAGGAAAACAATTTTTATAGTAAAATGCCTTGAAAGTAGCATTTACATTTGCTGTTTCTATTTTTACTTCTCCTTTTATTTCTGAAATCTATCCTATATCAGGTCTTATCCTCAATATTCCATAAAATTGCTCTTTTCAAGATCTGAGACCTCCATGCTGCTGAATCCAGTGGGTATTTTGTAATTCTTCAGTTTATCACAGGCATTAGAGCTGAAATGGACTGGTATTGGTCATTTTGAATCTGATGATCACATGGTTGACTGTGCCGGGAATGCAAAACGGAAGAGGAATGGGGTCACATTCATCATCAAAAAGAATATTTCAAGATCTATCTTGAAGTACAACACTGTGATAGGATAATATCTATATGCCTACTAGGAAGACCAGTTGATACAACTATTATTCAAATTTACACACCAACCACTAAAGCCAGTGATGATGAAATTGAAGAATTCTGTCAAATTATTCAGACTGAAATTGACCAAATATGCAATCAAGATGTACTGATAATTACTGGTGATTGGAATGCAAAGGTTGGAAACAAAAATAAAGGATCAGTAGTTGAAAAATACAATCTTGGTGATAGAAACGATGCTGGATATCACATGATAGAATTTTGCTAGACCAATGACTTGTATATTGCAAATGCCATTTTAAACAACATAAAAGATGTCTGTCTATACACATGGACTTCACCAGATGGAATACATAGAAATCAAATTTACTATATCTGTAGGAGGAGACAGTGGAAAAGCCAAAAACAAGACCCAGGGCAGACTGTGGAACAGATGATATCAATTGCTCATACGTAAGTTCAGGCTGAAGCTGAAGAAAATTAAAACAAGTACATGAAAGCCAAAATATGACCTTGAACATATCCCATCTGAGTTTAGAGATCATCCCAAGAACAGATTTGATGCTTTAGACACTAAAGACCTGAAGAGTTGTGGGTTGGCATCAAGAACATCATACAGGAAGGAAGAAAAGGGTCATTAAGAAGATAAGAAAGAAGCATATTAACGCACAGCACCACACCAGGACTCCAGTAGAAGCTTAGCGCACATATTTGTTGAAAAAATGAAAGTAGCCAGGTTGAGAGCCAGGAATGTTTAGTGATGTCATCAGAGGAGAGTATGGCTCTCTAATGTAGGAAGTTTGGAAGCCATCCAAACTCACCTCATATCTCCAGATTCCTCCAATGTCATTGCTGTCTTCAAAGCAAATGGGCTCAAGTCCCTCCTCCAGGCAGCTCTTAATGGCACTTAGTCCACTGACTCCAGCTCCAATCACTGCAATTCTTTTCACTCCCATGGTCTCTTTTGTGAAAATAGCAAAGCGATCTGTCAATTGCACCTTTGGGGATAAAATCAGATTTAATTGCCAGTTAGCTAAGTGGAGGCGTCAGAATTTCCTAAATGATATTTAGTTTCACTCCTTTCAGCTTTGTTTTTGTTAGCTTCTGGGGAGTTGATCTCTGACTCATCGTAGCTCATGTGTTGTGTAAAACTTTCTTGGCTGTATCTTTATGGAAGCAGATTACCAGGTCATTTCTTCTGCAGTGCCACTTGGTGGGTTCAAACCTCTAATCTTTACGTTAGCAGCTGAGAGTAAACTACTTGTACCACCAGGTTCCTAACTTTAACTATTAATCCACTGCTATTGAGTTGATTCTGACTCACAGCGACCCTGTACAGGGTTTCCAAGATTGTAAATCTTTACAGGAGCAGAAAGTTTCCTTTTTCTCTAATGGAGAGTTGGTGGGTTTGAGCTGCCAACCTTGTGATTAGCAGTCCAGTGCTTCTCCCACAGTGCTACCAGGGCTCCTTAACTTCAACTTTAGCTAGTGTAAACTTTTCTCTTAACATTATTTCTACAATCAACAAGGGAGAACAAAGATTTTGCTCAAATCGATTACAATCCTGGGCTGACTCTTAAGCTTTACTTAAAGCAAAGCTTACTAGAATCTTTAAGTGGATTTTCTCATAGAAATGATCCAGGCTTAGAAACCATTGTTGAGTTGATTACTTATGGAATGAATGGAATGGCAATGCTCCATCTTACCTGTTGATGCTGAAGTGTGGTTAGTGCTGTCACTTTGTTCACTCTTGGCCATCCTCATGCTGTGGTGAACTGAGTATTTTATTTCAATCTTCAAACCCACCAGCTACTCCTTGGAAACCCTATACAGGGTCACTATGAATTGTAACCAACTTGACAGCACTTAAGAACAACAACATGATCAAAAGGCTTACCTCACTCCGACCCCACCCCAAATCGTTACATCCAATCCAATTGGTTAAGTAAAGCCTGTTCAGTGTGGTTCTTTTTTCTGCTCACTAAATTTCTTGGAACATTTATATTTTGCTGTTCCAAGGCAGGAACTTGTAAGGAGGACTGGTGGCACTGTAGGATAAGCACTGGACTGCTAACTGAAATATCAGTAGTTCAAACCCACCAGTCGCTCCACAGAAGAAAGATGAGGCTTTCTGATCCCATAAAATTTACATCCTTGGAAACCCTGCCCAGGACCTCTGTGAGTTGGAATCGACTCGATGGCAGTGGGTTTTGGGGTTTAAGGAACGGATGTAACTCTCTTCCCTTTGATTACAGTCCCATGGTCAGGCTACGCCAGGTCCTATGATGCTGCACTACAAGGCGTAAGAAATTTAAGCTATGGTTGGACAGTATTCTCAGGGATAGCCAGTCACTGATACTCGTCATTTCCCTTTCCCCCTTCCCAAGAGCTATAGCTTTTAACACTGCTGCTTCTGTTCAATGTTTCCTCCTGATTTTTATCCAGTGTATTTGAACGTTGTTGAACTGCTTGCATAAGAGGCTGTAAACCTTTTTATCTCTGGATGGTGCACATGGTTGATAATGCTTGGCTGATACCTGAAAGATATGAGTCCACCCAGAGGTGCTTTGCAAGAAAAGCCTGGTGATCGACTTCTGAAAAATTAGCTGCTGAACCCTACTGGGTTGCCATGAGTCTGATGTATTTATCATATGGGGCACATCCATTCATATATGGTATAACCAATTTTGGTATGTTCGCATCTAAGCATTATTAGGGTGCCAGTCCATCTTAGGGTATCCCAGAGTGACAGTCTTCTTTCTAAATACAGATTTTGCATGAATTCATTTTTAATCTCAGATTGTTTAGTTCTTACACTAACAGTCTTCCTTGTTTTCGTTTTTAGGTGAGGATTTTTCAAAGTTCATATCTTGATCAGACAGTAAAAAAACACACAAGAGTTCTCTTCTGCTTGAAATTAAAATAAAAAAAAAAGAAAAGATTTTGTTTTTAACATTGGAATCCTGGTGTGGAACCGTGGGTTAATGCACTGGATTGCAAAATTGGTTTGAACTTCAAAGATGGCGGTTCAAGCTCACCAGCTGTTCCTCGGAAACCCTATATAATAGGGTTGCTATGTGTCGCAACCGACTTGATGGCACTTAACAATAATAATAATGTTTTGTAGAAATAAAATTTTGGTATTTGATTTGGTATTCCTTGTATTATTATTAGAGATGTGTATGTTTTACCTTCCCTGATAGACCATCAGAAATGTGATTGTTCCATGGGATAATCACTGGACTGAGAACCACAAGGTTGACGGTTCAAGCCTACCAGCTGTTTCGAGAGATAAAGATGAGGCTTTCCGCTCCGTAAAAGACTGAACCTTGGAAACCCTATGCAGGATTGCTATGAGTCAAAATCGACTCCACAGCAGTTTTAACAACATCAATAGACCATAAACACCTTAGAACTCTATACTAGGCTTTTGCTCAATTATAATTTTTTTTTCAATTGTGAATTGAGTTAACAGACAAGCTCATCAGTTTTACATTCAACAAGTCATATGTTTTGTTTCATCTCAATTATTCCAATTCCCTCCATGTAACAATAGTCTTCTGGCTTCCTCCCTGTGGATGTTGTTGTTGTTGTTGTTACATGCTATTGAGTCGGTACTGACCCATAGTGACCTGTGCACAGCAGAACAAAACACTGCCCAATCCTGGGACAACCTCACTACTGTTGCCAAACTTGAGTCCATCAATGCTGCCACTTGGTCAATCCATCTCATT